AAATGTTCATCAGTAAAAAATACAAAACTTGACCTTGACCCTTTGAACCCCATAACCTAAACCTAAGNAAGTTCTGAACAACATTGCTTCATAATAACATAACAAAATGTTCATCAGGGAAAAGGTACAAAATTTAACCTTCACCTTTGACCCAGTGACCTTGACCTTTGGTCAATTGACTCCTTGTTTAATTCTGAGCAACATTGCTTCAAAGTGTCATAGCGAAATGTTCACCAGTGAAAAGATACAAAATTTAACCTTGACCTTTGAACCAATGACCTTGACCTTTGGTCAGTTGACTCCTTGTTTAATTCTGATCAACTTTGCTTCATCATGTCATAACAAAATGTTCATCAATGAAAAGATGTAAAATTTGACCTTGACCTTTGAATCTTATGACCTTGACCTTTGACCTCGACTTTTTACCTAAGTGTGTCTCTTTGTTTAATTCCGAACAACTTTGCTTAATAATGTCATAGCGAAATGTTCACCAGTGAAAAGCTACAAAATTTGACCTTGACCCCTGACCCGATGACCTTGACCTTTGGTCGGTTGACCACTTGTTTAATTCTGATCAACTTTGCTTCATAATGTCATAACAAAATGTTCATCAGTGAAAAGATGTAAAAATTTGACCTTGACCTTTGAGCCTAATGACCTTAACCTTTGACCTTGACGTTTTACCTCAATGTGTATTTTTGTGAACTGAATATCTTGACCAAGTTTCATGTACATCGGTCAATAAATACTAAAGTTATCAGCCAGGAACAAAATTTGTGGACGGACAGACAGACAGACAGACAGACAGAGTGATTACTATAGGGCACCCGTATCTCTGATACGGGACCCTAATAATGTTTTTTTAAACTATGGTGACATTCTATCTNTATTGCATAATAATGTCTTTTAGTGTCTCATAAGTCAATTATCCTTGGCTGGATATTTATCTAGTTTTATTGTAAGTTTACTTGTTTTATATGAAGATCAATAGGTGACACTTTATCAAAATAAATTATTGCTTATTATATCATTTTATAATTATTATTATATTATGTATATGTTGGAATCTCCACCACCTAAGGATGCTTCATGTAAAATATGGTGAAATTCCAATCAGCAATTCATCAGAAGAGGTCATTTGAAGATAGTTTTGACAGACAAACAACTATTAAGACTCCAGAGTCACCTACTAGCTAGGTCATTTGGGCTGGGTAAGATAAGAACCATATATTTCTAAAATGAACCCACTTGTAAGAGAACTGTCGCCTCTGGGGTGATGAGCCTTTGATCTCCATTCTGTCCACACCTTCTGTTCCTGGAGCTTTGGCCTTGGCCTTCAAGTTGACCTGTTCTTCCCCTGCTAACTTGACTTCCATTTCCACTGATTGCTTGCCCTCTTTGCTACAAACATTGAACATTATTCAGTTGCAACCACAACAACTATTTGAATATCATTTATTCACATTTTCAGCAATACGGTTCACTTTACACAACAAGAGTACAGCGGGGCGGAAA